GGTCATCACCTTATGCGCATGGCCCAATCAATTTAGAGTTTCAAGCTTGGATCAAGAGTGTCTGGTACCTCTGAACAATCGAATGGGCTAATCCAAGCTTGATACTCTAGATACATTGGAAAAAAAGCAGCGAACTCATTATGGATAGAAAAAAATTTAAATGCATAATAATATTCCGCGTTCAGTTCAACGAGAACCTAGCTAAGAAATCGTGCATCAGGGAATCAACTAATATCTAGTAAGAACCGGCATTTTCAACGATTATAATGGATGNAATGGATGAGCGATATTACATAGTTTTGAGAGAACCAGTCGGGATAGCTTAAGTAGTTAGCACACTGGACAAAAAAACGTTCGTACCCCCGGGTTAGAATCCCGGTTGATTTGGGAGAACTGTACTACAGAAAGGTGATAATGAGGATTCCTAACAAGGATGAAACAACCCCGCATGGGGGAGGGCATCCCAATGCACTACACTACCGCAACGAACACACTTTGATTGAATAAAAAACAAACGACATCTCTCAAACCACCCACTACACATAAACGATATGGGTTGTTCGTATAGCATTATGATCGGGATAGGGCAGGTGACAGCCGGGAAAACGTTTAAAGTGGTCAAATGCAAAACCATCAACAGCGGATGATGCCAATGATCAATCATAAGTATTAACATTATAGGTAAGCAGTAAAATACAATCCTTAAACCTGATGGAAATTGCTGATCTTCTCACAATTCGAAAACAAGCAGATGTCGCTCAAACATTTGTTTAAAAGTAACCGGATCAGCTGTAGAGATCCTGCGGTGGATTCCTATAAGTTCTAGGAAAAACAAGCTTGCGTAGACAACTTGATTCTAATTTGAATGTGACAACAGTCGAGCTCACAGCTCAGCTGATTAAAAAAAATGTACGCTGAAAAAAGCATAGGCGGCGCCCGTTCATGTGTTCGAATCTGGCCGAAGTTACTGATCTTTTTCAAACTCCAACTTCAGTGAGAAAACGCATTGTGTCCAACGAGTGGCTCTGGTGAGAATAAAACAGGCAAGTGAAATTAATGACGTACCGTGTTGAACTCGCCAACAAATTCCTCGCCATTTTCGTACTTTCCCTTCACGCGAAGTAGACCAGGTTGATTATTTTCTTTGTCAACCGGTTTGAGTTCTTCAATCTGAATCATGACGAGAGAAGTGTAAACGGAATGCTGCTAGCTGATATAAAAATAGGTAGCACGACCAACGGTTGATGCAAACAAGGACCCCGGAGTCACATATGTGACAATGATATGGATACGTTTAACAGTTTGTGTGAGTACTTATTGATTCCATCTATCCATCTTAAACGCCGTGTGAACGAAAAAATTGGCCCATATCAGACTCTGAGAATGTATAAGCTAGATCCGTTGCAAAAAACACCGTTCAAAAACTGGTCAGATAACACGTCTGCCTCTCAATCAAGAGGGCTCGTGGGACTTTTGTGTAATACATAGCTTTGTGTGATGAACAGCACACGGGGTGGGCCTCATAGTCACGAGGATCTGCAATTCGGCCACGAAAACCGGCAACCCAGGCCTCGGGCTCGAAAGTGGCGAGTCACCTCAGGTTAGGCGTGCTGTTACGCCGGACGACACCAACGCTACCTGTCACCAAAGTAAGGGCTTCGAAGCTCAGACTACAGAGCCAAAGGCACTCTAGTGACAGCAACTTGATCCGCTTGGCTAGCACCATTGAAAGCTGCGGGTAGGATACGAAGCTATGTAGGAGAACCCCAGTGGATTCCAAATCCAAGCAGTAGCGAATATTCAAGTGATAACCTTGAAGTTCGAGGTGGAGAAGGGTGCCAAGAGAACAGCAGTTGGTTACGAGTAAGGCTGTCTCAAGTGGATCCAATAAATCGGCATAGACGGGCTGTTTTTTTTAGTATCAGTTGCCGTAGATCGCGAACCCCTGTTGAGTCCTCGCCGATGGTCCCAATTAACTTCATGAGATCCTACTACCCCAAAACTAGTGCCCGAATCTGCACCTACGGCGAGGAATTATGTGCGTTCCAGTTAGGATCTGGAGTGCGAAACGGGTGCTCATTGTACCCAATGCTGTTCAACGCTACCATTGAATGGATACCAGGGAGTTCAGACCTCGCCGAACTTCTGCCTTACCATCTTAGAATTCATTGATGATGCTATCGTCTTTGGGGAGGACATGTTCAACCTCCAAGTAATCGCTGACTACATCAAAAACCAAAACGTCTGCAACAGCTTCAATTCATCCCGAGGATGCCATACTTCTAAACAGCGAGCCGATCTAATCCGTCGAAGACTTTAAACACTTGGGCTTAACCATACAGCTCAACGGCCAAGCTAAAGACGTGACACAAGTGGGCGTCTATGTTGCAGAAAAAGCATTTCTGCAGCTGAAGAATCCCTTTTGGCGTAGAAATGAAATCAGTCTTAAGAAAATAATACGAGTTTTTTCCGAAACAGTCCATCCTGTTTTGCTGTACGGCTGCGAAAGCTGGCCGCCTGAAGTAGAATACTGTCGACGATTAGAAGTCTTCAATCACTGATGCCTAATAATCACTCGGAGAGTACGATGGTAGAATCAGCTCTCAATGAAGCGGTCAGGAACCGGTATTTTAGTTTTATACCGCTATGGATGCCAAAATAGCTGTGGAGACTTTAATGGTTAGATCAAATATTTCGTAAGTCAGATAACGACCTGACCAGACCTACCTAGGTACCGTTGACATGGCGGACAGCTGAAAACCTGGCTACGCAAGGATACAGAAAACCTTGTTCTCCGCTCCATCTACGGTAGTCGCCAGTGGAAGTCAAGCTGGACCACAACCTGCTCTGATCTTGCCACAGACTGCCAAGTGTGGACAACGGCAATAAGGCATACCCATGAAGCCGACTTATCTTCTCCCGGGAGCCAGTCACCGTAAAGTAAAAGGTAAGAATATCAGTTTCTATAGAACTGTGACGCACAGTGCACATGTGTTATTGATATCCTCCCAATCCTTAGGTTTTATCATCGCCTATAAATTGTAACGGCAAGATAATGCATTAGCATAAACAACTGTTCATTGGAGATTGTGTTCTAACTGATAGGAGTGGCATTGTTTGAAAGTCAAATAATAATAATAATAATAATAATAATAATAGATGTCCGACTATACGCGTCGGACTACAACAGTGACAGGGATATTTCAGCGGACCAGGGGATGGGAAAACAATGAGAATACTCGCAGACTGGGTTAAACTAGCATAGTTACTGGGATAGGTATTTCAGTATTACAGTATTTCATTGATTATGGGGTTTACCCCTTTTGCTGTAACTAAAAAAACATGGTAAAGGCACCAATAGTTCTATCCACCATTGCGAGTAGACGTGGCATAGCTCAGTGTCTAAAAAGTGATCAGCACTGCTTGTCATGCGAGTGACCTCACTTGCCGGCATGGCAATCAATACAGAACTACGTTCTATGATTATTTGGAATTGCAGAGCGACTCGGTCAAAGTGCAAGACAACCACATGCGCATTTGAAGAGAATCGAAGTTTGCGCCAACCAACGTTGTTTCTTGTTGTTATTGTTGTTGACCTAAAGAAGTAGCAGCAATGGCTAGTTGCATTTCCAATATGCATAACGATATAACCTGAACCCTTACCGATCGGCAGTCTGTCGGAGTGGTTGAACTGCGTCCTATAACGGGTATGGGCATGGGTATCGAGAGGGGAATGATTTCCAGTTGAATAAGAAGACCGAGAACACTTTAAACGGCATTCGCTTTTTCTGGGCACGAAATGAAATATTGGTCACGGAACCCGTGTGATGAGGCAAGCCGGTGAGGGTTTAATCAATCACACACAATCCCGCGTACACTGTCCTTCTCCAAACCTCACAAAGGTCAGATCCATCTTCCGATTGATTTAATTTGAGTGATCCTAGCAAACCGATTTTGTGTTTTCCAAGAACCGACGAGTATGAGAATGGGTTATCGGTGCCCACAATCCTGATGTCCAGTTTGCAAACAACACTCCGTAAAGAAACGGTCAACATGTTCGACTGTTCGAAAGAAACCGTGCGGCTAGTTTGTGCACTCGGCGATCGCCTAGAGTGCACGACAAATTTTGAGCGCAATGTCATTGTTCTGTCGGTTTTCGCGGACGCGCATGCGTAGGATCACGAAATTTGGTATGCGCATGCTCGAATCGTCACCGTCTTGTGTTCTCCTACAAGTAGTAGAACCTGGACTAGGTCTACACAGGTGTGATCCCGGATGTCGTACTTGAAATGTGCGCGCGCGTGTGTGTGCGCGCTGTCGTCTAGTTCAATACCACGCCTAACCTTTCGGGGCCTTATTTGGTTTGCCACTACCAAGTCCCGGGGCCTAGGTTGCCGGTTTCAACCATCTAACAGCAGGTCATCGTGACTATGGGGTTCGCCCCGTCTGCTGTTCATCACACTTAGTTGTGTAGTAAAAAAATCAGTCACTGGAGTATATCTGCCATAAGATTTCAGCGTTATTTTAATCTCGAATTTCTGCGATTCACTGAAGAGAAACCAGACCCCAATTCACACAAGCTATTGAACAACCTTCCGTTTGTATGGATTCGCTTCTCCAGCAAACCACCAAACAGGTTCACTGGACGGTTCAAAGCAAAGCTGTGAACGGACCGATATTACTGATGTTTAGAAATTCCACACACACGAAAAAAATACATTGAGCATGTTAGCGATATGTACGGTGGTAGCATCGTCTTGCATAGATCGGCAGTGATATTACGGAATCCTAGCGCAAAGGTTTTTCGAAGATCTGATGCACGAATCAACATAGTCTACATTCCTTTGAGAAATTCCAGTACGTAAGCTGTCGTGTTTGGGGAAAAAGTTACTACGACATCGAATCCAGATTCGTAGACTTGACTGCTCAGAACACGTATTACGCATTTCTCGTTGTTATCTACCGCACCATACCTTATTCACTGTTACCGCTCCAGATGGGAGAGAACTACGTGGAAGTCAACAGATGACAGAGAGAAGAGGCATGAAGAAATGCATAGAACGATTAGACTCCGTAACTGGTTGACTGGTGAAACTGAAGGACAGGGCATCCAGTTGGTGCTCTCGTTGTCGTACCTTATCAGACCAGAATGCTCGAAAATGCGTTGATGCACAGTTCGATTGCGTACACTCTGTGTTGATCAGAGGTTCACTTTCTCCCCCGCACCCCTCAGAATAAGACTAACCCCATGCACCGTACAATTTCTCAAGTACATTGTATTGGCAGTCATGAATGCACTGTTGCACTGTATTTCGCCGTAAAATGATGATGATGGATGTTCTCCTTGATCAGTGAATATTTTTGACAATCCTGATTGGGTCCACTTAGGCAGGTATATTTTCCTGTTATAACAGATCGTGGTATCGTGTCCCATGTTTCCGGTGATGAAAGTTTAAAATCTGCCATTTGATTTAATACTAGACTGTTTCTAAATGCACTCCCGATCTGATCATTATATCAAATTTGCTAAGTGACATGCATCGAGGCATACCGCTCCAGACCGTGACTATACATGAGACTCATTGAACTCAGGTATGCTGAGCACATGCGTATTCTGAAGGTGAGCGAAAAGCATTTCTTATCTGGCATACTATCCGGAATACAAGTCGATTTTGTAAAGTAATTTTTATCTATATACGATCCCAACATAGCAATCATACAACAAATACGCACACCGAGTTTATGCCCCCGAAAGCCTCAATACGGTCGCGTTGGGTGTCTTGGGTGGCGGCTGGTCAATCTTCCAGTACTACTCGCGAAATGCTCCCATACGACCAAGCGTCTCAAGTAGCCTCTCATGAGGAAGCTCTACTCACTGCCGCCTTCCCGTGGAGGAGTTTTCGCATCAAAGTAAGAGGACGGAAAGACATCCGGGGCTATAACCAGGTTGCTGAACCACTGACAGTCCACCTAGAAGTGTTGATTAAACACCCTGATTCTGAACCAACCAAGAGGCGTAAGAAACACACACGCACACACCTTCCGACCAGGTTTATGGCCCTGCGTAAATGCAGAAAAATGTGGGGGGGGGGAGGATGCGGTAAAAGCATTTCCTATGGCATCTGCTTCCCGTCTGAGCGTATCACACCAGTCCTTGATTTCACGAAGCACTATGTTGAAATCAGGTTGACCATGAAAAAAACATTTCTTGAACAATCTTAAACAGACGGGAAAAAGCACTAAAAACACGTACGGAAGTTGGAACACACGGTCGGATAAATTTGGTACCGTGTTTGCTCATGTATTCACCGATTTTCTCAGCCATCTGCTGATCGAAACCGCGCAACAGAATAGATCGAACCATGACAGTTGTGTCGAAACCGAAACCGGTCAGGAAACCGGCACATTCCAGAGCGACATAACTGGCCCCGATAACCAGTGTCTTCCCGGGCGGATAGGACAAGGAGAACAGATCATCACTGGAAATACAGAGAAAACAGAGGAGAAGGAATGAAGCAATGGGTGCTCATTATCCCGAATCAGAGAAAGGGAGAGACTGCCCGATGTTAACATTTCGTTTACGCATTTTCATCGCTTGCGAACAGCTTTAATCAGTAAGCTGGATGAACTTAAACAAGGACAAAGAGGGTATGGAGGAAGAATGAACGGAAGTTATCTTTAAGATTAATGGAGCAGCATGTTTAATGCCCACGGTTTTGGATCACTATGTATAAAAAAATAGAAAGACGGAATCAGGTCAAATGTGCTTCCTTTGTTGTGATCAGATGCTGTGCAAACGATGACCTTGTATTTCGATCAGAAAAACAGCCGGACGAGTTTTGCCATATCGAATGGGATGGTCATAAGGGACTACGCTAACTTTCATCATGTTATTCTCCGCTTTTTGTTATGCCGCAGCTGCCAGGGAACTGAAAAAGTACGAAGTTTTTGGATATCTTGAGCGGTCATTAGACAGTTTGGTAGGCTGCAAAGTTATGCGACTGGGAGTGTATGGTTCATGGCTGAGCTGAGTTTGTGGCGCACATTACTAGGCAGTCGGCCACTTTGTGAACTGGGCCATATTTTTCAGTTTTTACAACCATTAACCATGCATTTTCACGCACCGGTTTTGGTTGTTATCTTTTAGCTGTCCATTTGGATAAAAGAGCGGAATGTTCAGAGCAGGGTCAAAAAGAAGAGTCATATGGCAAATTTATAGAGACTGGGGCTGCAAAAATAATGAGTGGATGCACGAGTGCCACTGTTTGCAACACCCAGCCATATCACTCAGTGTCTCTAACCACCGGTTACCATGATCTCGGGGTCCCCAACCAAGGACCTATGTGATCCAGTGTCTTGGTTAGGGTTTTCATATCCCCATGTCAGGTCTAAGTTTGACCGCCAGTGACCTTTTTCCATTCGCTGCCTGCCTCGGCAAACATCGCTCGCGGTGGCAACCTATTTGATCAAATGCGTATGGATACGTACACCCACACCGATATTATATCAACGTAACCGTCAGTTGAAAAACAGAACGGGAACATAACAAAAAAACAATCGATTTAGGTGGGGGAGAACAGTACAATTTTGTACAATTCCCCTTTATTGTGAATGTTATAGTGTTAATAACACCGCGATGTCGGTAGAGAATATTCACAATAAAACAACGCATGGCGCATCGATTTTTCGATACACTCCTAAGATCATTTGAACCCGATGAGTTAAAGTTCCCCTTTATGTTTTCCAGCTGTTCAGGTGTATATTTTATGACACATTTGTGTGATGAACAGCACGCGGGGTGGAGACCATAGTCGCGAAGACTTGCTGTTCAGTGATAGAAGCCGACAACCTAAGCCCAGGGACTTGGATGGATGAACTTGATAAGGCTTCGTCAGTCTAGGTGTGGTATTGCACCGGACGGTGGCAAAGCTGCCTACCAAACTGAGGTTCTGTTTTCTCCCTATCAAACGGCTCTGACAATCGCTTTTCGTTTCAAGTCATGCTAGTGTTTTCCTTCGGACCGAGTGGTTTCTGAGGCACTTTACCTGTTTCTCGAAGAACATCGGGTGAACCAGAAGCTTAACTGAATGACAACCAATGAGCCAATGTGAGCGGCATGTAGCAACGCGTAAAGTTACAGCCTGTGAAGTTAAAGGCAGATGCTAAGATTACTGGGAAAAGTATTTTGCAGATTAGAACCAACGTTGAGCATGTGGGTGGTGCACTCTTGATAAACTGCAATTTGAGTCAGTGCACAACCCCTGTTCAACTGCATGAAATTTATGTAAAGTTGTGTGCAACTTCGGAAAACGCATATATGTAACTCCTGATACCCATTGTGACACCTGCGGAGTAGCACCATGAACATCTATATATGAACCCAAACTAGTTTGATCATTAATTATATCAGCATTGACCTGCTAGGATTCTAAAAGGTCAGGTCACGTTATCCGCTGCTCCCTCCATTATCCCCCCTCCCGTACGTGTTCGCTTGATTTACAGTATCGCTCATGCGTTTCTCGCGTAATCTGTCATCAAATGCGCTTTGTTCGTACGCGGTCTCGTTTCTCACGCTCGGTTCCTCCGCCATACGCTGAACTATTCAATGGTTCTGTGTGGATCGCCTTGATTGTCATCTACCTATGACATTCTACTGAGTCCCAATCAGTACCATGCCTCTCTTTCTGGCATGGTATATTGAAATGTAGATCAACAGCAATGCATTACTCGTCCGTTGATTGTTTGGCCTGGTATCCTGTTCGAACGCTGCGAACTCACGATCATTCTGTATGAGACTTGAATAGTTAAAATGCCCCGTATTTTCTTACTGTCAAGGTATGTTCTGTTGATACCACTATTTGCTTCATTCTGTGTTCAATACAGAAGTGTATTTGTATCGGATCCAGTTGGTTATTTTCCTTTTGTTTCGCTCGTGTATACATGTTAGTGGTTGCAAACCTGAAACTAAAAACTGTATATCTATCGGATTGATCGTATCGAACGGGCAATTCGTGTCCGTTCTAACAATCATGACGTAATATTTCTAACTGATTAGCTGATTGTCAAATGCAGTCAAAAGCTACTACTAACAGAGGCAAGTTAAACGGCATGACGGAACTCCGAAATAGAACCTACAAGTCGGTACACTGGTGATGTACATTCGCATTTTTGAGAAAACTTTGAACAATCATATGTGAAAAAAACTTAATGAATTGCGGGTGCAGTACTTCTTCGACTACCCGCGTAGTTTGTACAACCTATAGGAGCTGTCAGAATCACGATACACGGTAATAGCCTCTGCACTGACTTTCGTAGCCAAATTCGGCGATCAAGTACATGATTACCCGGCGAGTGCAACGTAAGCACTCTTTATTGGTCAACTACTGGTTGTGCAATACAACAGGATAAAACACACAGGAAGAAAAAAAAATTCCATCTCAAGCGGTACAAAAAATATTTCGTCGGAAGTTCAATTTATTTTCAAACAGACGAGAGTCGGACTAGCTTAAAATGGTTACTATCCCACCACACACAAAAAACGTAATGCCTCAATCACGACAGCGATTCGCAGAGCAAACTTATCACTTTTGGCAATCGACAGTGTCATTCCACTCATAAGAAGCCCATTCAAGCGCACACGATACAGTACGGTGTTTGTCTACCACAATTGAAATTATCTTGACCATTTAACAGGGTTACATTGATAAATTAAAAGTCGCATGTAGGAAGTGAAGGAAGGACATCGTATCTGGCCTGAAATACATGAAATTACCATCCTGCCCTCAAACTGAATTACCAACGCATCTTCTTCGGTAAAACTTGCATCCGAGAGGAGCTCACCGTGGTAACTTATGACTGATGTCCTGATACAGCTCATTCAATTGGATTATTATTATTTCCCGAACCGAGACAGCGATTGCTAACAACGGTTAGTTGTTGTTATTGACGAAGAAAAAAACAAATTAAGTTGTACTTTTTTCAGTCCGCACTAGGGGAACCAAGACCGCAGGGGTACAAAGGTTAGAGTATCGTGCTCGACCGGGTTCATCTGATCAGCTGTTTGTTGTGTGAGTTGGACCTCAGAGACAATAACTGTATGTAGAAAACGATTTTCGCAGAGGAAATTCTTTTAGACATATCGCATCAGGCGTTTACATACATGTAGGGTGATTATAGTACAGGTAGCTGATTGGCCGACAACAGAGAGCTCAGTTAGTAACGATGACAGAGGCGAGCAAGCAGAGCAAACGAACATGACAAGGCTAGTGATAGCCGTGGTGGGGGTGAGAAGACAAAGGTCAAATGGAAAACGCTAGATAGATGGGTCAAATCGAATGGCCAAAGTGACCGCATACAGTAAAATTCTATAAGCTCTCCAGTTCAAGTGTGCGCTACAGATTTCATAAAAGATGTTTTGGATGTTTCGAAAGTACATAAATGAAGCAGAAATACAACAATACGAGCAACGTGTAAGCAATGTGAGTATATAAAAAAAACTCCGTGACAATGATACCAGTAGCACGAGACGAACCATACAAACACACACCTGGTAATTGCATACTGTTTGTCTCCCGGAATCCCCGGGTAGCGTGGACGCTCACCCGTGGCCAAGATAATGGTTTTCGCTGTCGCGGTGCCCGTCTCCTTGTTTTTCTTCGTGTACTAAATAGATAGAAAAGAGTGCAATATGTGTTCAAAAAGTACACTTTGAATCGAACGATAACAACCCACTCACCCACCCACCCCCCTTTAAAAAAGACCTTGTAAATTCACATGACTTAAGCAAAAATGTTTCATTTATCCAACTGCTTTCAAGAGATTTCCGTAGACAAAAACAAATTAGACGTAAACCCAAACAGTATCTAAACAGTGGGGTATCGAGTGAGGTGTCATCCAGAATTCCTTGATGTAAGAATACGCACACAATGTGAGAAAAACGTATTTGACCGAGAGAGAGAAATCCAATTCAGAGGCTAGGTTTATCAATGGAAGCATTACGGAAACGCAACACGAAACGAAAAAAATGGGGTGGGGGCGCGCCAAAACTCACCTTGATCGTATGTGAATCGACCAACTCAGCAAACGCATTTATATATTCCACGTTGATATCACGAAGTTGAGTGCGATAGCCCCAATTCAACGAGTGAATATGATTTCCCACGGATTCGATGATTTGGCTCCATTCGTGTTTGACTATCAACAAACAGTGGGGAAAATCATGAACGAGTAGAATTCTCTAAAATCATGGGAGACTTTTAACGCGGCAGCGAAACATGCATAATAACGTTGACAAACCAGAAAAGCAAGGCTAATAGACTAGTTGGAGTAGCACACAGTGAAGACGCTAGTTGCTTATTTTGTCGTGCCCCAGTTTAATACCGTCTGATCGTATTTCCAACTCCTCGAAAATGGGTTTATTTATTGAGCTTACTTGAACGGAAGTTTGTGGTTTAAACTTTTCAGATGAAAGAGTGCTATGAGAAGGCAAATTGACACACTAGAATAGCTGACCTGATCAGGCAATGTGGTAACATTGTAACTGCTTAGATTCAACAATAAAAGTAACAGAGGTTGCTTGTCTGGTGTGTTTGTGCACTACCTGAATGCACTTCGCTTGAGATGAAAGGGGAATTATACGAAAATCTTGCACAATAGCAGCCAAGTACTCAGTGAACGGACATCGTGATAGCCACTGGCGACTTCTACGCACAAGTGAAATTCCTGGACAAATCGGAAGAGTGTTCAGGCAACTCAGCCTCTGAAAACCCTGGTACGAGCGGGGATGGGTATCCAAAATTGTGACTGGTCAAGCCACAGCGAAATGGGATCAAAATTCCTCTCCTAAGGAATCCCTCACTCACTGTCTCCACATGACGGTGTTTTCCCATCAAAGTGGAAGGACGAAAAGCCAACTTTCAGAGATATAACCGGGTAAGGGAACCGTCATGAGATCCGACTAAAATGGACAACAATGCGCAATGGAATATGGTATTTACGCAATCGCACTACTGCCTGGGCTAGTCCAGGGTTCTGGTTGTGCATGCCTCAAGAAAATTTACCTATTCCAGCCTGGGTAACTTGGAACATTGGAATGATTTTTCGGTAATACCATGATTTGTTTGACGCGCAATCTGGAGTCAAATGCGCGTGAAACATAATACATAAGTAATAATAATTAGAAAGGTCATAAGAAACCTCAATCGACCGGATTGATATCGAGGGTTGCTTACTTTAACTCTGCATAGACATCGGATTGTTCCCGCAAGTAGCAACTTCTCGTACCCAAAAGCCTACACTTTTATCAGTGATCAACCAGATGGGTAGCCAGGTGTAGGACCTGCTCAAAAATGAAAAATACTGAGTAAAATTTAAAAATGAACTACTAATTCTATTAGATGGAATTCGTCGTTTCGATGTGAACCGGGATACCTTCAAATCGCCAATGGGACTAGTTTATAAATTCCATCATTAGTGATTCACTTGTTTCTTCTTACTCATCCAATAGTTTAAAAACCGTAAGCTGAAAGCGGACAACGGATTTAGGCTTCAGATTTCAAACGGGTATTGCTGATCAAGCGCGTGAAGGGACTGCTTCTAGTAAACCTTGGACCCCAAAGTTTGAGATCCGAACCCCACCATCGGCGCTAGTTAACTTTGGTGATCAGCCCCACCACCATTCGTCTCAATAGCACGCCTATCATACACGATGGGTTTGAAACTACAAATTCCAGGGATTCGGTTGTTGGTGAATATGTGCGAACGGTAGATCCTCGTGACTGGGAGGTTCTGCTGTTCATCCAGCAATGATGCTTAACGAACAAAGTGGGGAATTAACGGTCTCCCTAGGAGTGAAACCCACACAGAACATCATCAACAGTGAATAGTGCCTGTGAAAAACCGAACGGGCTAAACCAAACATTCACCATCCAAAGTTTTACTTGTTATCTATCGACTTACTTCCTAGTGTTCCACAGATGGTATAAATGAAGTAATGCCAAAATGTTTGAGCAGATCACAGAAACACTTGGAATAATGACTCATCATATATAATAGCGTAACATGTAACTTTGGACCAGCTTTCTCTGGAAAACTTGGAACAAAGCACAAATAATTAGTTTCCATGGTTTTCGGATCTAATGGGAACAGACATATTTTTCAACGCAGAAAACGTAGAAGGTAGAAACACAAACCTTTTTCGGGTTCCAATTGCCATCCGAAATGAACCGCATCCGACATGCCCTCACCTATATGGAAAGAGGAGGAACAGAAAGCCTCGTGGATAAAAA